TGCTGTCTCTAGGCAAGGCAGTGGCTCCTGAAGCCCATGTTCACGTTCAGAACATAGTTATCTGGAATTCCAAACCCCACTTTTCCCCTCTCCTTCAAATCTTGTGTTTATAGTAGTAATACAAACATATTAAAAATATCTACCATGTGACTGACCTTAGCAAAACTTCTTAGAAATAAACCTTAGGTTAAAAAAAGAAAAATTCTAATTTTTAATAGCTAATGTCATGAAAAATTTACAAGTGGCAATGCCAGCTTACTAAACATGCAGAGCCATGGCTTTAATGAGAGGAATTTGCTGAGCAGCTCAGAGGTTTTTTGTCGGTGATCAAGGTTTTCAAGTTTTTTATTGGTATTACCAGTGTTTGAGTTAAGTCAATTTGATTAGTTTAGGATTTAGGAGCAGCGGTTCAATGCAGAAACAAAGCAATCTCTTTGTATTCAATTGTAATTAATCACAAAGGTGGTGCAATATCCAAATAAATGTTTTCAGGTTAAAAGAGCAGCATCAAGAACTAACATGAAATTAGATTTAGGTTCATAACATGGAATGGATGGGTATGTTTACGCATGTTCTCTGGGTCATCAAGTCCAGACCTCTGCTGTTGCTGGAATCATGTCATATAAGCCTTTTCATGCACTTCAATCAATTATGTTCATTAATTTAATATCATTTACTATTTGTGAACATTATGGAAAACCATATTAACCTAATCATTGAAAGTATTTCTCTGTATTTAGTTCACATTAAGAGTCAGTACCCAAAAAAGAAATCTGTGGTTCACCTTATGTGCATTATCAGATAGATATTTTATGAAATGAGATTCACGGCTGTCTGCGCCACTGAATTGCTGTATCCTTTCCAGCAGCTGCCTCTGAGCATACACCAGCAGCGGACTCACTTGTTCTGTGTATCTCTCACTGAAAAGAAAAAAAGAAAACTGTAGTAATTAAGCAAAATAACTATATATTTAACTATATAATGTTGCTTTTCAGTTTTTATTGGAGTTGGTGTAACTTACTGTGTAAATATGTTAAATTGTACAGCTATGTGTACCAGTGCTTCCCACTTCTTCATTTGATATAACAATTCTATTGTTTTAAGAATCAGATTACATGTCCATTTCAAGTCAACCACATTCACATCATCCAGGGGAGACAGTGGATGGAGATTAGAACCACCATTCTCATCAGTAATACCTCCTAAACAACTGGGAATGCAGAAGTCTCCTTTAGGATCCACAATCTACAGTGAAGAAACATTATTCTACCTGTTATTTTCAAGCTTGTTTTTAGGACAAATCAAATTATAAAGATTAGACAATACTGTAATCCTCTAAAATCTTGTTACAGAGACTAATGTGCAGATATCAGAACACAATGCAAGAGAAGAAAGAAAACTATCTGTACTCATGATGATAAAGAGTATACTGTCTTAATAAAAATATTTGTTACCTTAAGAGACCTGCTTGCTTGTAGTTCAATTATCATATCAATGATCATGTCTGATGCCAAATAAAATGGCAACCAGATGGTGTCCCTAAGAAAACACCTGGTAATGGGGAATGCATCCGTATGGGAACGTGAATGGTGAGCAATCAATTGTAATTCTTGAGTATAGTTCCAAAGTTCTCGACAAGCATTTTGAAGCAATGTCCAGTGGCCACCACGGTGAGCAAGAACCTATGCATATAATTCAAAATATAATTATACTTTGGAAATACAGAAATTTAAAGCTTCATTCTTTTATTGCAAAGCTTAGGTATAAGTAATCTTTCAAAATTACAGTCCGTGGATAATTCTTAATAACAGATCATTCAATATGTCAATTTATATAAAGCATTATAGAACCTTAATTTGGAAATTTTCATAGAAGCACTAATTTATAATTGAATTTAATTATTGCTCTCAGTATGAGAATAAGAAATAAAAATTAATTCACACCACATATGCATGTGTTTTTACTTGATTTTAGAAGGGTATACAGGAAGAGTAGTCAGTCTACATTTCCTTTCAATTACTGGTCCTTCTGTTTATACTACCAAGACATTCACTAAGGCCTGTAAAGGGAAAGGTAAGTCTGCAAGTGTTTTCGGAAAGTTTTAAGAAACATGAGAATAAAAGTTACAAAGACTAAATGAAAAGTAAAACATTTATATAAATTATTATATGTTTGGTAGAAATACACATTACAATAGGTGATATGTCTGACATATTTCATACACTGTACTTGGACATTTTGCAGAAGATGAGAAATCACTGCTTTTTCCCACTGAAGTTTTTTTTAAGTTTCTGAAGTGTGGATTTTTTTTAATGTAGAAAGTAGTAAGTATTGTAATGCAATGCTTAGCAATAAATAAAATGTTTAACAAGAAAGTTTACTTTACCACTGCCCGTCTTAAATGCAAAAAGATTTTTGTAAAATGCTCCAATAAAATGGTATTTGACAGAAACTGGTTGTATTCTTTGGGGGAAGGAGAGACGGATATTTCTGTATTGTTTGTCATTTGAGTTGCAGTAGTATCTGTTCCACTCAGCTTAATGCTGTGCTCAGAAGATTTATCTGTACCTGAAAACAAAAAGTTCACTGGTTAAAAATGAGTTAAGTTCTCAAAAAAGTAAAAATGAAAATATTATCAGTCAGCTAGGATTTTCCTGTGGCAACTAAATACTGAAATGTTAGGAAATGCCACTGATAAGGTTATCATATTTATAAGGTTATGATATTTAAAATATAAAATGCTTCTACTTAAGCGTTGGGAGAAGCAGGGATTAAAAAAAGTTTGAGCAAAATAATATGTACCAAAGTAGTTTTCAGCCTCAAAGCCAAAATACAACCCTCATAGAAGTTAACAAGTTTTAGGAAAAAATCACTGTGTGGCAAGCTCTCAAGAACATTTCTGAAACTGAGGCGTCTTAAAAGGAGAAGTTAGGAAGAAGGGAAGATTTGTGACAAATTCTGTGGTATGTGTAGATTTGCGTCATTATTTTATCCAACACCAAATATCCTCCGAGGGGAAACACAGAGCTTCATGGTAGTGGGATACAGTAATATCCAAGCTATGGGTTTCAGGCAGAAGCTAATTTCAGGCTAAACTCTATGGCAAACTACACACTTCATGACATCCTTTCATTCAGAAAGGATTTCATTCAGAAGCTGCAAAGGCTAGGAGGTAATAAACAGGATTTTCATTAGTTTTCAGCAACTTTCAGTGATTCAGTTCTCAGTGACTTGTAAGCATCACAACAAAATAGTATAACTAAAAGTAAGCTCTTGCAAAGAAAACCAGTGAATTCAACTGCTAGTTTTTGTCATACCTCCTTGGAAAAGGCAAAGAGGCTGGTTGATTCCTACCTTAGGAAGTCCTACATGGAATGTTAGGAGAACTTTGCTCTCTACAGCTATGGCAAGAACGCGTTCCCTGAAGGGCTATTGAAAAGACCAGGCCTGATTTCTTCTTGAACTTATGGTGGCTAGCCAGACTACTTTGTATTGACTTGTATGTTACCACCAACATCTTAGGTAGTCAAAGTCCTGTATTTCACAATTACCTACACACAGGAGCCCTTCTGCTCCTGTTGAAACCTTAAAGGATGTTATTGAAAGTCGCTGCAAAGATAGAACAATCAAATGTGAAAGACAGAGAATTGAAGTAAAAATGGTAGAAGATAAAAAATTGATCCTGAGGTAGCCTCTGCCACAAGAAAACACTGGGGAGCAAGTCGTGGAGAAAGAAACCTAAATTATTCTACTTAAAATTTGAAAGCTAATAATAAACTTCAGTCTATAATTTTAAGACCTAGAGAATGACCCAGGAAGTTGTTGACCTGTTAGGAAATCTAAAGGAAACTACAGACTAATTAACAACCACAGAAACTGATAAAAATTACTATTGCATTTAGAATAATCTGGAATATTATCAATTTAATAGGTCTAGGTAGCATGGCTTCTGCAAAACAAAAGCTAGTATCACTGATTTATTAGAATTTATAAACTTGTTGCTAAAGTATAGGATAAAGAATAACCACTTGATAAAAAGTAACATATTTATCAATACAATAAGCAATGCTCAGAGTTATTGTAAATGCCCCATTGTTGACTATGACTTTGTTTATACCAGGCATGCCAGAAAGAGAAAATACAGAGGATGCTTTTGAAATCCAGAAACATCTCTTTAAATTGGCATGAGTGTTTTTCCAAAGGTGATGTGGAGAACTAATGATGGAGGTCAGGATAGAAATTAGCAGAAAGAAAAAGGTAAGTTGAAACCGATTCCAGTTGTGCACCCATTAAAAGTTCTTACAAGTTTGTTTTTCGGTCATTCCTGACTTTTTAAGGAGAGGAGGAGTTGGTGTTCTTGTGTTATTCTCTGCGGCTTCTCTCACTACTACAGTGCCAGAATTATTTAATGAGAATATTTCAGGATCCAAAATATTGTACCTGCAGAATAGCAGAAAAAAAAATAAAGCACAAAAAAACCCTCCAGATATAATATTAAAAAGAAATACACAAACTCAAAATTCAGTTTCACAAAAGTGAGTTTTGATTACTTTCCAGCAGCTTTAGGAATGAGAAATAATGAATGACAGACAAAAGTTGTAGGGAACCAAAAAATAGCGTAGTATAATATATTTCAAAACTTTGATCTGATCATCTGATCTAGTGAGTAACCAAAAATGTGCATGTCACCTGCTATTCGATGGAAAATAAAAACTTTTTACAAAGTAAATTAATTTGCATTTGGAAGCTGAACTGATCATATAATAAACTGACTGATGATATTGCAATTCAAGCTGTTTGCGTTAATGGCAAAACCACAATAATCTATATTAACAGCAATCATTGATAATGCAGTAAGATATACCTGTCCAGACGCCATGAACCACAAATTCCAATGTTATATTGCTCTTCCAGCTTCTTTTTAAATAAGTTGTAGTGTGCAACTGCCAGATAAATATTCATCTGAGACCTCCAGGGCATCTCTTCAAGACATATTTGATGAAACTTCTTTCGGTTTAAGTAGTTACTCACAATTGGTTGCAGCAGTACCACTAAGGTGTGACGAGCTACTTTTTGCAACTCTTCCTTGCATTTCCTAAACCCAAATATAAAAAATGAAACGGTTCTAGTAAAGAATATCATGATAAAGATGACACAGAAGTGTCCCATTGCATATCCACAGATTTTTATAAACTCAGAAGCATATGACATATTTTTACTGCAGTCAAAAAAAGCAATTGTACTTTCCCTCCTTAAATGCACTTAACAGACACTAAATCCTATTTTATATTTTACCAACTTCCATAAGATGTTTGTCTTAGTATTTACAAAAAGTTTAGCTCTGTGTTTGAAGTTATTTGTACCTGAATCATCTGAACAAATTATTATAGCAAATACAGTGTTTCACACAGTCTGTTCAGTAGATGGAGGGTCTGCTATTATACTGTAAATTTGGATCGTTCGTTTTATTGCTGTGTTTTGGTAGCTAATCATCCCCAATGTGAAGAAAACATTTTATTTCAAATGTGGATGCCTGGCTTTAATTTCTAGTCATAGATTTTTTTTATGTTTCTCTGCCAGATCAAACAATTCTGTATTACCCACCATTTTCTCTCCGTGAAGATACACACAATGCTGTAGTCAAATCAAATCTCATTGTTTCTTTTTTATAAACTGTAAACTGGTCCCTTTATCAATCTAAATTATTTTTCTGTTTTCCACCTTTAAAATGTGGGCAGAACAACATACCATATGCAATGTTCTTATATTATACAGCAATATTATTATGTAAGATACAAAAGATTAGCTGAAAGAGCAAAAAGCCCAGGATAAGTTAAACATCCCCTCTTCCACCAAAAGCCATGAAAATCATATTAAGTAAGGTGGGTTTTTTTTCTGTCAAGAAGGAAAAAGGGACAGTTTAGGTAAATATTTAGAAGATAGAGTCTGGAAGACTTTTTTGAGGGTCTGTCTTTAAAACATTTCCAGAATCATTTATGTGATTGCTTATATTCAGATATTTCTAGTTTTCTGCTTGCTAGTTGCTGGAAGCATAAGTGATCAAAGCACCAGGTAATGAATACTACAAATTCTTTTAGGTCAGAAGGTCCCTTTATTAGCAAGTTAACCAAATATATATAATTATCTACCAAAAGAAGAGGTGAACAAATTTTCATTTGTTTCTACCGAGGAACAGTTTTCTGAAAGCTACAGAACAGATAATCCAAAAAGACTAGCAAAAGGATGATAACAATCACTCTGAAAGTACTTGAACATCAGGAACAAATAAATATTCTTTATTTTATTTCTAACAGGTAAGCTTCCCAACACAGTTTGAAAAGCATTATAGCATGCAGATTAACATAGCTTTTCCACCACGATGAAGCGACATGCTCAAGCTAACACAACTGAAATACAGTCTTTGATTATTAAGAAAAAGACCTCAAAATCTTCAATAGTTATTCTCTGAAATAGGAATGAGACAGATTTTGTTCTCTTGCGTGGAAGCCAATTTCATACCAAACTAAAACAGAAAAGTGAGTGAACTGTGTACAAATTCATTCCTTTGATAGAAAATAGTTTTAAAATACACCCTTAATTATAAACTAAATTTCAGTCAAAATATTTTAGTTCTGTACATAAAGCTGATGACTTAGGTTCATTTACCTTCGTGCTTCTGGAGATACCATTACGTCCGGATGTTTCATGAAATACTGTCTAAGAGTCTGTCTTCTTCGAATAGGACTCAAGGCTTCTTTTCTTGGTTTCTTCAAAGTTGATGCCTCTGGTTTCTTTAAAGGTGAGGTCTCCACATTCTTTAAAGAAATCTTCCATTAAAATCTTAAATATACTTCAAATATTTATTTATATCTACGTTATCAATCACTTGAGGTATACAGCAGTTTGGCTTATGCAGGAACGGAACAGAACAGAAAATAAATTCTGGAACTGTTTGTCAAAATAAGACAGCAAAAGAAATACTTAATATTCTAGAAAGCTTTACAATTTTTCTGGAAGGTATATGTCAAATGCCTTACACTAAGAAGCCAGCCAGGTTCCCAAATATTTTTTTTCACATACCAGTGTTTTTCATCGCAAAAATAATGATAGTTCTTTTGCTATTATTATAAATAGTAAATCTTCGCAATGTAAAAACTGAGAAAAAAACCTCTTTCCCATTCCCTAATCTACCTTAGATGCTAGCAGTATTAAAGCATTACTAAAGGGTTATGAGGGAGAAAACTCTTCCTCTAAAACAATACAAACCCATTAAGATTACTTTTACCTTCCAATAAAAGCAAAAATTTATTTACAAACAGTTCTGAACAGAAAGCCTTTATTGTGCAATTAGGATATCTGCACAATGAGTTACTCATGAAAAAGTGTAAGTACAACATATTGTACAAAAATGCCTAAATCGATCTCCTTTTCTTAATGTGATGGTAGCCAAGGCACTTCCTATTAACATATTGTTTTCTCTAAAGGGAGCTGTTTTCATTGATTTTGGAATGCATTACTCTGACTCATCTCAAATTCCTCACAATTGTTGGTCCTTCAGACAAATCCCATGCGAACTTTTCTTCATGGTTTTAGGAGTGCAGAGGTGAGCCGAGGACTAGAGTTTATATTCCCAAGTTTACTAATTATGCATGACTAGCTGACGTTTTTATGAGATAGGTTTTAAAAATTCATTTTTGTGCTTATGGTATTGCTGCCCAGTAAAGAAATACATGACTCCTTAAAAAATCAAACTCACTTTCTGAAACTCTGCCATTCCTGTAGTGTATCTATCTGTGCCTTCTGGCAGAGTGGGAGAACTTGTTTCTTGTGTTGAAATTCCATTGATGCAGAGAAGGTGGTCATTCCTCCTGACAAACAAATAATATTAAAATCATCATCATCATCACGTTAAACTCCTTTCATAGTTGCAGAGTTATCTTTGGAAGCATGTCCAATTCCTATTTCATTTGGAGATTTAAATTCAGCAAGTTTTCTTTCCTTCTTCCCCTTCAAAAAAATAAGTTGTTCTCACTTTCAAGGTTTATTATAGAAATCTGAATTTATAGGTCACAACTATCTCACCTTCCTAACTCCTAGTAAAACAAAACAGTTTGCTTCATTATCCAAATTCTACTACGGAATTCTGCAAAGAACTTCTTCATGTCCAATTCTTTTGGTCTTTTGTAACAGCAATTCCTGTTCCCTATAATACATCTCCTTTTCATTGATTATTTGCTTTTCAAATTTTAGAAAAACTGGTGTGTGTTTTTAACAAAGTTTTAGTTACATTTATTTGGGATACTTTTAGGTAAGTGTCTACAATTTGGTTCCACTTAACTTTTCAGTACCGAATTTTTTTAGACAGTACAGTAGGCCCTGACCAGTTTGCTTTTGATTCAGCCCAACACACTTTTCTAAGTTATCTCACTGCCCCATAGTAATACAGCAAATGGCCATATTAGCAAGTGGTGTCTATGAAAAGGAAAATCCTGGAAATTGCTGATGGTAGACAGGACTTTTGAACAGACACAGCCAAGGGAGAAGTCTCCATGTATAATGAGGTCACAATACAATATTTTCTGTAGCTATATAGTCCTCTGTGTTCATGGAACTTCTGCATAATAGAAGCCATGAAAATGGCTCCAGATGGGTCTTCTAATAGGTACAATTTACAGTTTCTGCTATAACTGCGACACTGGTGAACTTAAGTATTAGTTTTTCCGCTACTACTATAATAGAGATCTACCTTTTCAAGTAAACTTCCACATTGCCTGCCCATTCCAGAACGCATTGAAACTTCTCTTCATTCAGGATTTTGTGCAAAACTTGAACAAAGAACTCAAGAAAACGTGACTTCTTTCTGAATTTCATCACTGCAATAAAGTATCAAATAATTAACACAGGTTGTGTATTAATGCTGTAAAAGGTTTCTGAATTCAGCTATAATTACAGTTATGTATCTCTCAAAGCACCTATTTAGGCCATGTTGCATGCTGATGAAGAAAAGGCATACTGATACTAAAATTGGATAGGTCATGATACAAAACAGCAGGTGCTAAATACTACTTCTTGGGCCTGGGCATCCAGAATCACAAGTTCACTCTATTTACACTGCTAGAATGACAAACATTCTAGGGACTGAGAAAACAGGTTTGGAACTGGTTTTGTATCATGCAGTACGTAGTGCAAAAATATTTTATAACCATATTCAACATGCCTAATTGTACATGTCCCTGAAAATCCTGAAAAAACAATAAAGCAAGTATAAACAGAGTAACTGCATCTTATTCACTTAGATGGTTGTTCTCAGTGACAGTCACATTAGTGTAAAAGCATCACACAGTTCTCATTGCAGCAGTGAACTGTGTTGTCTAGATTTTAGGCAGCTTTTTAATTGTTTGAAAAAGGCTTTTACTGTTTGGCTGTCTTCATAATTTTTTACCATCAATAAATAAATAAGTATTTATCCTGTCTGAAAGCTATATAATTTCACTGGCTGGGCTCCAATGTTATTTTGAACACCAGTATTAAAAAAAAAAACCAAGGCAGTGGCAAAGGCCACATACCAGAATCATAAATCCTATTTCAAAAACACAAGTGTGCTCAGACTTTTGAAAATTCCTCTTTCAGTAACATAATTTAATGTGGAAATGGGGTATTTCAATTTAAAAAGAACATTCCACACAAACAGAATCTTTGAAAACTTGACACAACTTAAAAAAAACAGCTCATTTTTAAAGTTATTAGAAAATAAACATTAATCAAATTATTTAAAATATTAATCTTTTATATACTTAACAACAACGTCTAAAGTATTTTCTTGCAAGTATTTCATATATTTCTAAATGGGGCTATATTAAGAACTTAGCTATGTTTTACTTGATTTTGTATATTTCGGAGCTAAATGAAGAGGAAGTTTCCAAAAGCTTATTCCAGGCAAGATGTAGATAGCTTGACTGGCAACTTTCTGAAGTAAAGGAGCCTTTACAATTAAAATAACCACCAATTATCCTACCTTCTCGATAAGCATTGTTTGATGTCCAGCATGAAATTACAGGGTAGAGGAACAAAGGATCTTCCTGTCCTGTAAGCTCTGATCCACGAGCTACATCAATAACCAAATCAAATCCATTATGACAAGCAGCAATAGTGTACAATAAAAACTCTACCTGGAATCGTAACTGAAGACTAGAAAAATCCTTCTTTAGCAAAGAGTTTGCTTTTAAATCTCTCACTACCATCCAGAGAGAAAATCAAAAGCTTGCTCTTTTCTTCTAACATAAGTAGCTGTGCCACTTAAATAATGAAGAGCTTATGGATGTGACTGACGAACTTCCAGCTGCTAGACTAATAAGCAGGATGCCTGGAGTTCATCAGAGGTCTAACAAAGGTCCATACAAATCATCTGTGGAGAAGGATGTGTAGTAAGGACCTGTCCAAAAATGTACTTAAAGCTTCACAGCATGAATTGAACACGCGATGCTAATAGAGACTAGTGCTTACATACATGCTCACCATATGGATAGCATAAGTCGGTAAAGGAATTTTTTTTTTCTCACCTAAATATTTATAGAAATATATGTACACAAATATATTTCTATTCTATAAATAACATATTAGATATAGGTGTAAATAACATATACAATATACAGATATAGATAGTATGTATAATATATAGGAGAACAATAACCTGGCTTTACGCTTCTGAGAGTTAAATACAACTGCATTACCAGCTGATGAGCATCAGAACAATGTTACATGTGCTAGTTGCTATTTTGCCTTAATACAGAAACATGACCTACAAATTTTGTGCTTAGGCAAGTTCTGTGGCTGAAAAAGATCAATGCAGCTAGTCCCTGAAGAAAGAAAGGTTAAAAATGCACTCTGGAACAACCAGTTGTGATAGTGGATCAATATCTACACCCTCCACTGGTAGCAGTCAGTTGAAGTCTGTTGAAAGCAAGTAATTTGCAACTAAATAGGACAACCAGCTGGACAAGCAGATCTTTTTTATTTTCTTTTTAGGACAAGTCACACCGTTTATTAGTACTCTCTCCTGTTTGACAAGTTCAAAAATAAGTTCCTTCAAATGAGCATTTTCACAAAGATTAATACCTCCCAAAATCTTTTAAATGGGAAAACATTTGACATTTCAGAATTTAAATTGTACTGTGTATGAAAGATTTTGGTTTTATCAGTTTCTTATGAAAGAGGAAGATTCAGGTCTTTTATATTTATCTCTTAGACTATCATGAATGGAATGATAAGTTCCACTTTTAAGGATTTCACCTAAGATCTACTTAGATCCACTTTTAAGGATTTCCTATGACAATGTTTTTTAAAAAATATTTTAACCACATGCCCTACAGGCATGCACATTGTCTTAAACCACTAGTACATATTTGTCTAAGAACAGTTGTAAGCTTTGTTATTTGTTTTGCATAGCCTCAACAAAAAACTCCTCTTCAATTCATATCCTGAAACTTATTGATGAATGTGGTATTTCAGCAGCCAGCAAGCATTTGCCAATTTCTGAAAACGTGTTCTTCTCTGACTGATCAACCCATTAGTTTAACTTTCTATTAAGTAAAAATGGAACATCATTTTATTAAGTAATCAACATAATTTTCCATTAACTTACAGAAGTCATTCATTCTGTAACTTTTTCTACAGGAATGCAGCCATCAGTGTCAGCAGCAAAAAATGAAGGATCAGTGCACAGATGAATGGAATATTTGTGTCACTCTTTTTATCCTATTTATTACAAAATGCTTTCTCTTCTAAGACAAATGCATGGGGGGTTGGACTAGATGACCTTTAAAGGTCCCTTCCACCCCAAACTACTCTATGATTCTATAATACAGAGATGATGGATGATAACAAGAACATGAATCAGCAGCATGCCCTTGCAGCAAAGACTAGTTGCATACTGGGCTGTATTAGAAACAGCATAGCCAGCAGGTCAAGGGAAGCGATTATTCCCCTCTATTCAGTGCTTGTAAGACCACATCTAGATTACTGTGTTTAGTTTTGGACACTGTAATACAAGACACTGACATACTGGAGTAAGTCCTGAGTACGGCCACCAAGATGACAAGGAGCTAGAGTGCATGACAAAGCAAGAAGAGGCTGAAAGAACTGGGTTTATTCAATCTTAAGAAGAGAAGGCTAAGAGGAGTCTACACTTACCTAATAGGCAGAATACAAAATATGGAGACAGACTGTCCTCATTGATGGCACAAGAGGCAATAAGCATAAGTTGGAAATCAGAAAATTCCAAATAGACATAAAGAAAACCTTTTTAACCATAAGGGTGGTCAACTGTTGGAAGAGGTTGCCCATAAAGGTTGCAAAATCTCTTTCTTCAGAGCAATTCAAAACTTGACTGGACAAGTGCCACAGCAACATGATCTAATTGGACCTGTTTTGAGCAGGGAGCTGTAATAAATGCCTTCCAGAAATGCCTTCTAACCTAAACTATTCCATGATTTTACCCAGGCTCCAAGGAGTATAACATGCCATGTAAATATAATGGAAGAAAAATCAGTAGTGGCTCTGTGTTTTAAGTTCTAATCACTTTTCCTTTATAAGTACTAATTATTAATTCACCTAACTTTGGTAGAACTATTAGCCTGAAAATTCTTGTGCTTAATTTAGACTCTAAGATATTTTAAAGTTGATATATTCATTCCTGAGTTACAAGGTAATGCTAGTATACATGCAGTTCCTTCACAAAGAGGACAATTTCTCTTAACTTTCTTCAGGAAGCCTTTTCTCCACTAAAATTTCCTGCAGTGGTCATTACTACTAGAAATGGTAGGATAGTAAGACATGCTATAAATGGGCAGTGGCCTTTGCCACTGCATTTTCTGATTTAGGAAAATAGAGCAAGCTTAAATAACGTAGAACCCAATTTACACAGGTTGAGAGAACACATGTATTTGCAGAACAGGACAAAAATGACCATTCCTTTCTAAGAAGGAATGCATGTTTTGGTGGAAATGATGAAAAAGATGAATAAAAGTTCATTATACACATCACTACCAGAGATAAATAAGATCACTGAAATTATGATTTTTGTTTATTTATCATTGAATATATATAAAATAAAAGTACTTCTTAGGCATACAATTTTTACAAATAAACCATGGAAAAATGCATAGAAAAGGGTAAGAAGTGTTTTAATAGTACACCCACCTGGTTTTGTCAGTTTGAGGAGATTTGATTCAAAAGCACTTAGATTTTCTGTTGCTTTTTCCATTGCAGCTAAATGGGATGTCTTTGCAGAAGTGGTCTGAAATATCCAATACTTAGTCATGAAAACTTAGCTTTTACCTAAGTAAACCCAGCAGGTAAATAGTGGAGTTTGGGTTAGATCCCAAGCTTTCTAATTCTACATCTGATAAGTTCATCAATATTGTCTTACTTTTCTTTTCAAGTGAAAACTGATGTTCATAAACTTTTTAGTATGGCTGGAAAAACCTGGCCATGATTCATTCTTGACTGATATCCAAGGTAGTGAGTGGAGTTGATCTGCCACCAAATGCATTTTTAGGGAAGTCCCACATGCTACTACAACATATTTGAACAGATTGTTTGACAAACTATGTTGTTTTCCAGAAAAAAATAATATTTTGTAGATTATTTACTGCCTACAGAGATCAAAATCTTCCTCTGGAGAGGAAGTTCTTTTTTTTTTTTTTCCACTTCTGAAAATATAATTTTCAGTCAGCCCTATGTGGCTCAAGATATTATATTGTTCCTACGGTCTTAGATTACTGGGGGTTTTTTTGTTTGAACTTAGGAGCAGCTAACACAAACTCAACTTGGGAGCAGCTAACACAAACTCAGCAATAAACAATGGAGAAAATAATTTCTTCCGGATCCTACCAGTGTCCTACAAACTTTCTTCCAGAAATCCTTCCCTGTAAGGTGTTTGACTTTTTGTCCCTCTCTCCAATATATCTCAGTTTCATGCTTACACTGCTTCCTTTCTTCCTCTCATTATTCCTAATTTCTTACCCTTTTTTCAAATCTCCTCTCTAGTAAAATCTCCTCTAAAATTACTTAAAGAAAAAACAGACTGGAAAGTATGGAGAATCAACACTTTACTCTGATTCTACGTTGTAGAAAATCCTCACAACCTGATGCATCTCTTTGTAACTTAAGTATTAAGGTCTTTGACGTTGAAAGTTCCTCCTCCATTGAGAAATATTTTTCAGTCTACACAATTCCTAAGTTACTGTCTTATTATGACTCAGTTTCAAGCAGCTGCTACACTAAATGAGAGGCTAAGTTTCTATATTTCTATATCTATATTAGGATATTTTTGCTCTTCTTCACTTACACAATTATTTAATTATTTTTTCTGTCTAATAAAAAAAAAAAAATCTATATGTAAAGATCAGTTATAGATGCTTGTATAAATATCTGCACGATTCCCATGGTTTGGAACTGTAATACTGCTAACCCATCTTGAGTTCAACAAGATGAGACCCTGTACCCACTGCAATGTGCAACTCTTCGGAACAAAGATGGCTACAATTAAACAGAAGTCTCTCAGCTGTACTTTGGGAACTCTTATTCTATGAGGAAACTTATTTCATACAATCACTTCTAAACCAGAAAGTTAATAAATGAGGTCTTTAAAATAATAAACATAGCATTTAGAGAAAAGAAAAAGCTAAAATCAGAGCAATTACTTCAAGGGGTTTTTTTGTGTGTGTTTCTTCAGTTTTCATAGCTCCTGACTGGCAGCGTGAGATTGCTGGTGAGGAATCCAACAATTTTTTCCCATAGTTAACAATAATTATGGCTAGTTCGTATTCTTCCCACGAACGTAGTACCTATAAAACAATCATGTTATATATTTTTGTTTTGCATAACATGTAATGTTTCATTACTGTCTACTCATAATAGTCAAAATGCATGAATATTATAAATAGAAATTAATTAGTCAATACTGAAGTTTCCTTTAACAAAAAAAAAAACAAACAGGACTATAGACACTGAAAGTAATTGGAATTGCAGATATGTTATCTATGTGTTCTACTTTGGCTTAACCTACCCCTCAGAGAATAGAAAAATTTAACCAGAAGTATCTATTTCTGTGATTGACATTCTCCCTGTTCTCAGGCAGTACTGCTATCAAAGAATAAAAAGGGTAACAAAATGATCCTCATTTACCTCTCTGGTATCAAGTGCACATTGGTAAATCTCAACTGTATTAGTGAAAGGAGTAGTGAAATTTATTTTTAAAATTATGAAATTTATAAATGCACAGTGTGGGGAAGGGTTTTAGATGGCTTTATCTTCTTTAAATAGAGCTCTAAAGGCCAAAGTACTTCTACTATACGCAAGGTAACTTCACACTAGGATGTTTGTCTTTGGGATGTAAAATAAGTGTATAGATTACTTTAGGATAAACACAATACATGGCCTCATTATTCTGTTGAAATGCTATCTCTAAGGAAAAAAAAATAAATCAGCAGTACAAGCAGTCATTTAGCTGGGGAATCCAACAACAAACAGACACTGTATCAAGGTTTCAAGGTTCCTAACAGGCTTTATTGACCTTGGTAGCTTCCACCTGGGCTGTCCCCCCTTGGGGCCAGGAGCTCCCTTTCAGCTCAGGCTTGAGCTTACAATCCCTGCCACCTCCTATCTGGCAGGAACGCTGGTCTTCAGCACACTCCAAGCCATGCCTAGACCTGGCCATGGATCCACTGGCCTGTTCACTTGACCCGTGGACTGACTCCTCAGCTTGGCCTCAGACTGTTCCCACCACGATGGACCAGCCTGCTGGGCTGTGTCTGACGCTAGTTACCTTCACCAGACCTGATCCTGACCTGCAGATTGACTTCCCAGCTTCACCTCGGACCTGCCTCATAATAAAAACTCACCCGATGATCTGGACTCCTGGTTGAACCTACCAGCCGTGGCATTGCCCTCAGCTCCTGTCTCCCCAGCCTCGCCGTGCCCTGACACTGCCCTCACACCCATGAAGTAATTGTTTAATACCAAGAAAATGGCAACACTAGGGCTTAAAATAGTAATCTTTATACATTTTAAAAGAATGGAAACTGTGTCTTCTTGCAGTGCACTTCCAAGGATTTTTGACACTGACCTTGTCTTGTGAGGTGAGCACAGAGATCCAGATCCTATAAAGATCAGGGTGAGGGATCACCAACACAGAGGAATCCCTCAAAGCATCAGCCGCAGCTCAGCTTTGGTATGAGCTCTTAGCTGAGGTATACTCAAAGCTAGAGGAAAGCTGACTTTTTCAGCATCGTACATTTACTGTGGTAGGTACTTTAACTCTAGCATGGCTCTATACCTGAGGAAAAAATCCTACCTGTACCACATTTCTCCTTATCTCTCTAAATAGAATGAGTATTAAATCATAAATGGGATCTATAGATACGTATTATCATTGAAAGTCAAGGTGTTTATGTTTCTGCCAGCATGTGGGACCAAACAGTACAAAGTCTCTTGTATCTAATTAGCAGCATAAGCTATATATGTTATTCTGATTAAAACTATAAATATAGCCTATATGCTGTAAATAAACTTTTAAATTTATATATTACATATATACCTTACTGAAAATAACACTACCTTAAATGTAAAAATACATGCAATGATATAAAATACAGATTTCATGTCATAGACTAATAATTACAGTCTATTTTCTGAACAAATGAAAATTCAGTTTTATTAAAAAGTAAAAATGTCATTGTTATATAAAATGCCCTGATACAGAGATAGTAATAAATATTTGTATACCTTTGCTATTTAAGAGTGCCTGTTTTCTAAGACATCACTCTGAAGGCCAGTTTATTAAATCTTTTTTTCTTCTCTAAATGACAAGAGCTATAACTGAAACTAAACTGGAAGCACAACAATCCACACAATACCTTTGCTGTATAAAATGATGTACAAGCTATCATATGCTGAATACTCTCGTAACATCCTGCCTGCCTCCTCTGCAAAGTAGCACTTGGAATTTCTTGAAGGACAGTCAAGCACTTAATGAGGATCTGTAAATACAAGGGTTAAAACAAAGTTTGGAGTCTGCAACATACTTACAAGCCTGTACCTCTGTACAGCCTATTGTATTTGATGGTGAACTTTAAAAATACTTCAAAATCTAACAGACAGGATAAAATATTAGCTGTACAAAAGACAACAATAAAATTTCCATTGAATTTAATGGTGTCAAGATTTCAACCACAGCCCTTTGGAATAAACGACATGTTCACATAAAATCACAGATATTAAATTACAGATATACGATGGGTATTTTTGCTGATTTGATTAACATGAAAACAAAGAATGCTCAATTCAGTGAGATGACTCTCCTAGTAGAGGACTACTTAAAACTATATTGAGCTGGTCAGAATTTTAAATGAAAGAAAAATGTTTTCGGTATGTTCTAAAATTAAAATACTACTTTCCCCATTTCTGTCTAATAGACATGAAAAGAACATGCGACTAAATTATTTTTCCCTTTAATTAGGAAATCTGAAACAGGAGCCATTTCCAGTGGCTAGCTATGCCTTTGGTAGGTCATCACAGCCAATGACTTCTTAAGCAAGAAGCTATCCCTGTATCTAAATATATTATTATTTTTTTTAAAATGCTCCTAAAAACTTGTCAGGGCCCTAAGTGTCCCAGTAGTCACTCTGTGAGCAGACTCACCTGGGGCCTCCTCCCACACCTTCTTCCCAGGGGCCCAGGAGTCCCAATTAAGCTCAGACACAAGCCTTCAGTCCCTACTTGAGACGTAGTATTGGTATGCTGGTCTTCAGTTACATCTCCTGGATGGACCTTTGACCTGTGTTGTAGCCTCGTCTCCAGTCTCTGGCTCCAACTCCTACAGCTCCTGACTTTTTCTCCTGGATGACCACAGGCCAGCCCAACAACTTCACTTTCTCTGGACTTTCAGTGGATCCTCTTACCAACACCCTGCTCTGTCTGCCATGTTCAAATGCTGCTAGTCTGTACCTTGCCTGCATGGCAGTGACTTCATCCTTCCTCATAGAGCAAACAGAATCTTACTGCTGCTCCCTGGCAAAACTACCTAATTACAGGAAAAAAGTTGCATGTTTCTACTCTGTCCTTGCTGAATCTAAAAAACACATCTGCTGCTTCAGAAATGGCAGGAAAGGATTCAGGTACTCTGTTTTCAAAGAAAAGGTGCTTGCTTCTGGAAAGGAGCATGTGCCTGAAAACTAAAGACTGCATCATCAACACATTGAATAGCCGCCTTTTTTTAAGAAGAAAACTGTGCATGAAGCAAACTTTCCAAAAAAAGCCATAGGCAAATGCTGCTTTTCTTTCCTCAAAGTTGCCACCTGCAAATAGCATTCAAGTAGAAGTTACAATCTAGATTCTACTGTAGTTTAAAAATATCAACAAATCATCCTGAAGAAAATCAATATTCTGCTGTTATTTTAGCATATCTGAGAGCAGAATCTGTGCAGCTTACACTGAACATATATGCATAAAACATATATGAACATATATGCATATACACACAAAACTGTAAAAGGCTTTTCTTTCGGTAGCTACTAAGAACTCGAAGCCTAGATACTTAGCTCTCCCACTGTACACTCCATTATAAGTTTAATTTGAATCACTATAATTGCAGGACTTGGATGCCAGCTGCTTTGTCTTAAAATGCTCTCACCTGAACTACTGGCACTGAAGAAATCTTGTGATAAATAATTGGAGCAAGGAGACCATAACATTGTACAACAGACTGCAGGGTATAACTTGCATCATTCAACCAATTGCTAAGTTCAATTGCCGCAGTCATTCTTTCACATTCTGCTAATCTAGCAACCTGTAAAACAAACACACATTTTGATTCAAACATGAATTCTGTTGGTTTAAATCATTTGAGACTGAAAGAAGACAGATGTTATTGCAGTTTAAAAAGCAATGTAAGCAGCAAATAAGATAAAATTTAAAAATGAGTTTACATTGACACCTGTTAGAAGTATATAAACAAATGCAACATTATTCATTATTCTAAATGAAATGATTGTTCTTGATCTAATTGTGCCCTCTGAATTTACCCATATAATTTACAAAGTCTGGTTATCGACCTCAACCTGTGCGGAGCGGAAAGTTCAAATGCTAATCTTTCAGAGTAGGTAAGGGAAAGATAACAATTCCTTCCTTTCCCGTACAGTTATCTGCTACAGTCCTTGCACGTGTGAGCAGATCCAGTAAAGTCACTGAGTAACCAACTGCTCACATTTTTACAAGACAAGGACTTCAGCAAAGAAAGAGTGGAATAGGAATGTAATAATACAGGCAGCAAAGCTTGACTATCCAAACAAAAAAGAAAGGTTTTGTTGTGATTAACATGCCATTATACTATAAGAAAGTCTGAAATAAGACAAAAGAAGCTTAGTATATTAAAACCATGAAAATGTGTTAGAAGTTCAATATTAATGAAAATATATGTATTAAATAGCAGAAATGTTTAAAATTAAAAATGCAAGGTTCACCTTAGTAGGAAAAAAATAAAAATTATTATATTTCTTGCTTAAATTATAGTATATCACCATGGAAGTCAAGGAAAATCCTTAGTTGGGATCAGTGGGCTATGGATTAGGCAATAACTGATTCAGAAGCCATCTTTCCACCAGGATACAAAATAACCAACAGCTACTAAAATACTTCAAAAAAGAAGACCAAATAACTCATAGAAAATGAAGTATTCTGTAAATAGGATTAGTACATTGCAACATTTATCTTGCAGCGATGAAATAAAGCTGATCAAGAAGTAAAATCAAATCCAGCATATTACTTTAAACCACACATACTTGTTCCTTATAAAGTATCTCATTGGAACAGATGGAATCACAGAAGAGTGCTCCTTCCATGACATTAATGTCACACACAGCAAATATATTCCTCAGAAAAAGGTGCAAGGTAATGGGAGAAGTCTGAGATACAGCTTCAAACTGTAACCTACAAAATAAAAAAGCAAAAGAACAGTAAAAGCATGTTAATGATGATTCTGACATCTCATGACTGAAACTGCACTATAATAAAATGCAGTCTTTAATTTTAAAATTATGGACAAATTCTACTTCTAGAAAAAAGTTTTATACATAAAACTGAAAAAAAAGATTAAAATTTCTAATTTAAAAAAAAAAAAAACGGCTAAGACTCCTTTTCAAATTGTTGTCCACCTTCTACTATGCTAAGACAGTTTTTCATTATTTGTTTCATCTAATCCAGTGAATCTTACTTCGAACTTTCTTTGAAAATTTGGGATGCTACAACTGATTTATTTTAATTGTGTTCTTTTACACATTATTTTTCTGTATTCTGACAATGACACATGCAGTTGTGAAGTCCACCACTAAGTATTAGTAACAGTCTCATTTTCATCACTGATGTCTTGTATTACAAGTCTCAAATAATTTCTTTTCTTCTGCCTGTTTTTTTGTTGGGTTTATTCCTTCCCCGGGGGTAGGGCGGCATTTGTCCTTGTTACATTTTTTCTAATATTTTTGTTACAGGAAAAATCCTATGATTTTGAAGTATAAGAAGTAAATTCCTCCTTCTCCTCCGTTGTATTTCCTAAAAGAGACTGAAACTCAAGAAGGAAGATCAAGTTGACGCATTCGCGTACTTGACATTACCAGGATATCAACAGGGCTTCTGGCTGGAAACAAGAGTTTCATTTCCTTCCAGCTCCCTCTGCTGCCTCTTTAAGTCCTATGTACTTCCAAGCTAATCTAACTAATTTCTTAGCTACCAATCAGTAAGACTGAAACTGCCTTATTTCAGGTCTGATACTGCAGCTTTGAGAATGTTCTATATTAATTGGGGGAAAAAAATTGCGCTTGGACATAGCTGTCAGAAAAGTAAAATCCCTGAATTGCTTTCCATAGCTGTTTAAAATTAGCTGTCTTCATTTGATTTATTTGAAAGTAGCTTCATTCAAATGTTATCTCTGGAGCTGTATGTATGTAAAAAAAAAAAAAGCACAAAGACCAAACTTGCATAGTAGCAGTTTTATACACCAAGACACTAGAGTAAGTCTTGTAAAAAGATACGTGAAATAGGATGTCTAATGGTTATCTGCCTGCATGAATGCAGTCCACAGGCTGCCTGTAAATCCCTAATGCTCTTATGGCATGTAACGTCAAGCCCCTCAGTCAATTTGTATGCCTAGTATCAGACACATGGTGGCACCTGAAGGACAGACAGGATACACGCCAGTGGTCTGGCTGAGCCCCAAATAACATGAAGTACATTTAGACACGTTACTTTCTCCTGTAACCGGATTCAAAGCACATGCAAGCCTACACTATCTGCTTGCATCCAAACAGCATTCCCACGAGAAAACCATGGGCTCTGAAGCAAGTAAGACAAAACAATATAGCAAAAACTCTAGCTACATCATCTGTCTCAGAATAGCTGATTACCAGTTATTCTGTCTGTGAAGTAGAAATGGAAATATTATGATGAAAGTGTTAGGAAATCCCCCTAATATCTATTTCTGGAAACAAAGTTCTCTAGTCCTTCTTTATTTCTTGAAACATTCAAGAACTATTAACACACATGCAATAAAGTTGCTTCTTGTCATTATGGTTTCAAGACTAAGGCAATCTGACAAACTGAAACAGAGATGCTGTAAAACTTTTTCATACCTCCTCCACAAGTTTGCCAAAACTCTCCTAATGAAAGAATTAGTCCAAAAAGAATTCCACGCAGGTAAAGATGGTGATTTGTGCTCAGTTATATTGGACGTTAATTCATTATCAAATTATAAGCAGTCAACTAACATTTAGAAGTATTAATTTTTATTGTAGTATTTCATGTCTATTATTTCACACAAGTCTCTTTTATCTGGGAATTAATTAAGTTTTTATTTGCTTTTGCATTTGGATCTATTGAATTTCAGTGAATGTAACTGCAAAATTTCTAGCTGGGCTTTGTCATCATGAAAACCCTATAATATTATGACTGAACATTTGAAATTTATTTAGAAATTAATTAATTTTAAATATCTCTTCCAAAGCACTTTAGTATAGTCAAAGATTATTGGCAGATTTATATCTGCCCCAAAACAAAATTAGGAAGCATTTACCCACTTTCGGTGGTGTTCTTGACAAAATTTTTGGAATTTCTGAACTCTACTGCTCCTTTAATTGGAAAGTCAAGAACACAGTGCTTATTACATATTTTGCATATGAAAATGCATCACACAAAATTAATAGCCACTTTATAAATGTTTCCCATTACCTTAAGAAAACAATCATTATAAAGAATTAGGTGTGTAAATCCTAGCAGTCCCACAAATAACAAAAATCCTCTGCTAATTATAAAACACTATGTTTTCATAACACATTTCACCTCTTTTTTCTTCAGAATGTTTTTCATATCACAAGTCTGAACAAATTTCACAACCTGGTACTCTTTAAAATAAAATGTACACATCTATAATTAACTATTATTTTAATTTTGTTTTCACCAGTTACCTGTTTTCAGATATAGTCAAATTACTACTTGCAGAAATAACAGCTGCATTGGCAGGCAGTAGAGAAGAATTTGAAACAAAATAATCCCACATTGGTGAAAATGCTTCTCTGGCCAATGTATAGTTGCCAGTCTGATAGGCTACCTACAAAAAAAAACCCAACAAAAAAATTTAGCAAGTTTCAATGTTCAACAAATAACCGAGCCACATATGATTATAGTATAAAGGTTTTAAAACTCCCCATCCGACATGTAAATTTACAATTTCTGTAAGAATATTCTAACATATTTGAATAGAACACATGTAGTAGCAATCTGATTCTACTAATATTAGTTTCCCTTCACAAAATCAGAGAAGGCAAAACTGTTTCTTGACTGTTACCTGGGATCTAACAGCCCTTTGTGGAATACTTTACAGGTATTGTGCTGCAGTTTTTGAAGGCATATTATTTCATCCAGGTTCATTTTACTTTTGTAGAATGCCCTGCTGCTCTGGATAATGGGATGTAAATGGAGCCACACAAGTAGGCATAAATTATTGTGGATACCTCTTACTCTAGAAGATTTTAGGAAATCTTCTAACAATTCCCCATGATCTGATCTATAGGGCTAGCCAATTTCACTTTTCTCCATGTCACAATCTGTTTTAAATTTTCTTTATTAAGAATACAGAAAATTATGATAAAGGTCTGACAGAGCTTTTGTGGTCTTCCACAAGACATTACAAAAATATTATCAATATGAAAATGGTTGGATTTGATACCTGGTAAGTTCAATCACATTTTTCATCCCATACTGTAATGACTAATAAGATGATTTCTAACACCTGGTCTCAATCACAAAAATGAAAAAATAAGTGATAAAAAATAAGAAAGAAGTTAAATGCAGGCTGAAAAACAGGACCTGGGATAAGAAAACTAGCTGAGAGACATCTTTCACCTTAAACCAGAATTTCCAATAATTTTGAATTGAGTTACTCGTATACACCATTAGTTATGTTAAAATTGTGATTTGTGCTTATCAAGCTTTTGGCAAGAAAGTCTTGAGTTTTTACCAGAAGAAGGTTTAGAGCTACCAGTGAAAAAAAAATAACTACAACCAAATTAAAGTATGTGTTTATTAGCAAAGACTAACCCTACCTCAGTTAGATAGGCTCGAACAGTAGTAGCAGAAAGAGGTGGATAAGCAAGGATTGGCTTAGTCGTTTCCCCAATGGCATCACCAATAAGTTTTCCATCAGAAGAATATGCTGCGACTGCAAATATGTATTTCTCATTGGGATCTAAGCCTTTTATTTCCAAGAGGCTTTTCCCATCAGCGGGTATCTATAGAATAAAAATATTTTCTAGTTACATATCAAGAACAGTACATATCAAAAACAAAACTCAAACTCTGAACTTTCATTGTTAAATAAAATGTTTAGCGGTCTTGGATACAAACTAAGTATGACGTAGATTAACAGACATGTCATGATTCCATGTAATATTAGGTTCTTGAAGACAATGAGAAAACAATGAGAATACAGGGGAAAAAAAAGTATCAGTTTTCTCTGGAATGCAGTTGACTATACAGAACACATAACCTAAGAGAACAGTTAAGTATCAGGACCTGGAGTTTCTCTAAGACATTTTTGTCCATTTGCACATTCACACTGTGAGTGTGCATGCTTGCAGTCATTGAGCTGGAAACATTCTACCCTAAAGATCAAAAGGTTTGTCAAAGGCTTGGCCAGTTACTTGATTAAAAACAGATATCAGATGTATACATTTAGAAAGCTGGGTTTTTTTAAAGGAACAGAGAATGACCTAAAGGAGTTTTACCTCTGTCTTACCTCTTCTCCTGCATTTGGAAGTTTATTGTTATTTAACCTTACTTTCATATTACTTCCTCCTGCTACAGAGCCCAAAATACTGTACCACGAAACCTTTGAAGAAAACGAAAACAAAATGAGTTGATACATAATAGTATTTCCAACTTTTGCCTAATGTAGAATGTACTAATTTTGTGAAAACAGTCTCTGAAAAAAAGAAACCTCGTTATAAAAATGCATAGTCCAACTGCACTAGAAACATTAATTTATTTAGCTGGAGAACTAGATACACTACAATGGTAATAAAAGCAGATGACTCTCTATTATCCTATCTCCTCCCTTGAGCTACCCTGTACTTCCCGCAGATTTAAAGTCATCTAGATCCCTTATTTGCTCCTTGCAATGGTATTCTTCTAAAGTTGACATCAGCTTCTGATTCTACAAACTACTTGAGGACAAATCCTTAAAAGCAGGCAACAGAAATGCAAACATGAAGTAATGCAGTAATATTTTCTAAACAAGCTATGCTCTTAGTTCCTACTGAGATCAATGTTTTTTTAATGCCATTGCGCTGCTGATAAACTCATTGGGCATATCAACTCCACTTTTCAATATCTTTAACCAAGGAAGAATGTGAGCATGCATTCCTGGATCAGTGCTCAGTTGTGTTCAGTGAGATCAAACATGGAAACTAATTTTGATTTCATCTCTGCAGAACTGGGCAGATGGATTTCACTAGGTATGCATCTGATGAAGCTCTCCTGCATTAAACTTCTACTAAAAACTGTACTAAGTCTATTTACTTTTAGTAGACATTTAAACAGCCCTGAGGTTTGGCAGATGAGGTAAATTTTCAACATATAAAAATTCTGAAAAGCTAAAATGTTCATTTTTCTTGTAATACACATGATTTTTCTTGCAATGAATCCTGACGGTTTTTCAGTAGGAGTTATTGAAATAGAGGAGATTATTTGCAGCAAATGAGCAACTTTAAGATCAGGAAATTTTAGAGATAATTTGACTTCTAGTACAAGAGCTATATATCTCTAATTAAATCCTAAGTATACATTTCCAGTTAATAAGTTCTTCATAAAAAATATTTCATCTCCATTCAATAGCTATGTGTATCTGTTGTGGCTTAACCCCAGCTAGCAACTAGGACCATGCAGCCATTCGCTCACTGCCCCCCGTTTCCCCAGGTAAGGTAGGGAGAAGAGGGAGAAAAAGGAAAAAAAAACTCATGGGTTGAGATAAAGACAGTTTAATAGAACAGTAGTGTAAGATGATAATAATAATAATAATAATAACGGTAAAAGACTATGAAAAATAAGTGATGCAATACAGTTGCTCACCATCCAATGATAGATTGCCCAGCCCGGCCCAAGCAGTAATCACAGATTCCTGCTCCCCGGGAAACCCCCATTTATATACTGAGCATGATGTCTATGGTATGGAATATTCCTTTGGCCAGCTTATCCTGTCTACGTTCCATCTCAGCTGCTATGGGAAGCTGAAAAAGTCCTTGGCTTAATATAAGCATTACTTAGCAACAACTAAAACAATACGTGTTATCAACATTATTCTCATACTAAATCGAAAACACAGCAGCTACTAGGAAGAACATTAACTCTATTCCAGCTGAAACCAGGACAGCATCTTTAGAAAAAAAAATTCTTCTAGAATATCTGGGCTCAATTTACAGAAATAATAATCTCATTGCACCATCTAGTGGTCCAGTATGTTACATTCACTCTCCTGTATCAAACAAAATGATAACAGTATCAAACAAAATGATTAACAGTTACTAAAACAGATGAACGACCAGATTTTAAAAAACTCTATTTTTTAATTTTATGTTCATTAGAGATATAAAGGAAGAACTTTTCCCTCATTAATTTCTTTGAAATTCACTAATCAAACTGCAGTAAAACTGCAAGTTATAAAACAACTGTTCACAGAAACATTTTTACCACTATTAATAAAATTTGAGTTTCTACTGGTTTTATACACATCGTTATTTTGTAGCAGCTTGCAAAATCATTATGAAATTTTCTCTCAAGAAAACTGCAGCTAGTGAATTTTTCATCCTTCAGCCTGTTTGAACCTTTCTGGACATATGAAGGAAAGTAAGGTGATTTGGAACAGACAGCATGAATTTACCAAGGGTAAATCATGGCTGACCACCATGATTGGCCTCTGTGACAAAATTACCTGATTTACAGAGTGGGGGAGAGGAGGCTGGCAACAAGGGGAGCACTGCAGGAGACTACCCTGGGACCTGTCCTGTTTAATGTCTTTAGCAACGACCTAAGGAAAAAAGTGAGCACACACTCAGCAGTTTGTAGATGATGCCAAATTGAAGGAAACAGTTGGTATCCTTGAGGGCAGGATTGCTATTCAGAGGGACCTAGAGAGCCCAGACAAATGGGCCAGCAGGAACCTCGTGAAATTTAAGGAAAAATGCAAAGTCTTGCACTTGTGAAGGAAGAATCCCTTGCAAGGATACAGGCTGGGGACTGATGGGCTGGAGAGAAGCACTAAAAGGATCTGGGGGTCATATTAGACAGGAAGCTGAACATGAGCCAGCAATGTGCCATGGCAGCAAAGCAACCTAAAAGCACCTTGAATTGTATTAACATAAGTACAGTTAAGAGATTGAGGAATGTCATTATCCCCCTCTGCTCAGTACTCATTAGACTACACCTAGATACTGAGGCCAGTTTCCCTCCTGCCCCCCTATCATTCTAACAAGAAATGTTGAACAACTAGAGTGATTACAGCAGGGGACCACCAAGATGAGCCGGAACTCTAGCCCTGTGAGAAGAGGCTGAGAGAGCTGGGCTTATTCTTCCTGGAGAAGAGGTCGCTTCAGGACCTACCAGGAGTGCCTGCAAGCAAGTGATAAATAAGATGGAGCCAGGCTTTTCACAGTAGTGCATGGTAGGAAGATGAAAAACAAGAGACCTAAATTGAAGCAAGAGAGATTACAATTGTACACAAGGAAAAAAGTTGTCCCCATGAACAGGTTGCCCTGTTGGAACAGGTTGCCCAGAGAAGCTGTTCAGTCTCCATCCTTGGAGGTCTTCAGAACTGACCGGATAAAGCCCTGAACAACCTAGTCTAATCTCACAGCACCCTACTTTAAGCAGAAGGTTGGACTAGAGACATCTCCTAAAATCCTTTATGATCCCAGCAGTTCTGTGATTCTACATGTTCAACAGAGGGTAGATTTTTCCACCTGAACTGTGGACTTCAGCAGAGGCTTCAGTGTGGTACCTTCTTGCATCACATGATGCAACAGCCTTGCATCTCTTCCAAGGGTAACTAGGAATATGTCAGACCCTAAGCAAGAGAATGAGCTTTTGGTGAGTAGAATAAATAAGTGTTACACAACAGAAACACCAAGGATCATGATGCATGAGACGAAGAAAGTTTCATGCAAATGTGAAGATCAAAACAGTAAGTCACAAGGGGGAAAAAAGGGATACTTAAGTCAAATAACAAAATCTTGTCAAGAACAATGGAGAGAACTGTGATGGCTTAGCACTGTTGAAACAACTTTTGCTCTCTTGTGTATTGTTTAATTATTTCTGACACAGTCATCATGAAAAACATTACCTGAGTATCTGAAGAAAATGGGGCTGGTTTAAATGTCATTGAGCAATGTGATCTAGAAAGTAACAGAGGAGGAGGAGGAGTCCTGCCTTTTTTCTTGCTGCTCATAGCTTCTTTGAGACTGTGATACAATGCACCTTGTTCAGCTTCAACTTGCTCAATTAAAGTTAGTGCTTCCTATGATGTAAATTAAAACAAAAGGGAAAAACTATTAGAACATAACAATCAGAATGATATGATACTTAGAAACAGTTTTCAAAATGATCTTATAAAAAATCACAGCTATGTAGAAAACTTTTTGCAGATTTTCATATCATCTTACATCCTAAATTAGGATGAATGGTACTTTTTGTAAGCCTTACATATCCAGATTAATTTCACAATGTACAATAAAGGGAATATGCAGGGTTGCATATGAAAGAGGAAGGACTGAGGCACATCCAATTTTGGAAGAACCTGTAGGAAAAAAGAGAGTGATCACAAATAATGTTGACTAGCAATTAGTGGCAACCTGTGATTAGCTCCAACAAGAAACAAAAAAGATATCAACTCTTATTTAGGAGAGAGCTGGAGACCTAATCTGTGGATTAGGTCCTCCTAATCAGAAGGAGCTGTGGAAATGCTTACACTGGTTTTCTGTACTTCAGAAATAGAGGACAGAAATAAAGTCCAGAAATTAAGAAAAGGGAGGAGAGTGCAGGCCTGGAAACTGTAGGGCTAAACTTGGTTAGCTGGAGAGAGCTGAGAGTGGACTGACAGTCTATTAGTGTCTTCCAAAAATGTGGGGGCCTCCTGCACACAGTGATTATGCAGCCATCTGGTTGGAGATAAGGGTACATTTTTTTCTTACTGGACTGAAGGGAAAATTGGTAGGCTTCTTCACCCTGTTAGAATTGTCAGGATAAGATAAACTTACCTTGAAAATATAATATTCAGAACTTAGTACTTTTATATCTTTACTTATGGCAGCTGTCCAGGGCAAATCAAAGCCAAAAAGGCTAGCTCCCAGAGGTGAAGAGTTTGGGGATGCCTTGGACAAATGACATTCTTTTGGAAGAAGAGAAAGATGATATATTCCTACAACTAGGGGTTTTATTTGAAAGATTTTAGTACCATACGCTGCACCAAAGATTTTGGCTGAACTGAGTCTGAAAAATAAACTGAAAAAGAACGTTGCAAATTGAGTCAGATCACAGATTGAATAAGCTTTGTATCTCATGTCCAAAAATGACCAAAAACCAGCCATAGATTTATAGAGAAATAGGGAGCTAAGATTTAACAGAGCCTTAATCACATCACATAGCTAGTCATTTGCACATCCCCTCACTTCACCCCACTCCCTCCCCATTTAGATTAGGGTTGCATTCACCCTAGTGAGAAATGTTTAAGGAAGAATATCAGATAAAGAAAAATATATGCAGTGACTCTTTATCACTGCTTCCTTAAAAATTATACTTCTTTGTAGGAATCTGTACTGTGATACAATTTTTAATTAAAAGAATCACAGGCTCATTCTTCTCTGGGGACATATATCTTATTATGATGTTCTACAATAAAAAAGGCACAATCCTCTACTCAGAAGCGTGAAAGGTATGGATTTGCTGTTCAGGAAGTGAGCACCGTCCACCTCAAGGAGGAAAATTAATTAAGCATATAATTAAATATTTCATCATAGTACAAATATCAAAGATCATGCTAAGTTTGCCCAGGCAAAGTTAATTCTGACATTTTCTGGCAACTGGCTGCGAATATATTATATTCTTTTACCTACATCTTTCTCTGTGAAAAGTGCACGACAGTAAAATATAGTGAAGGTCAGTATAAGGCCTTTGCAAATGTTTGTTTGGGATAACTGTACAGTCTTGGGAATTGCTTGTACATCTTCATTGGTGACTACAGTTACAACTTTCATAGCATATCGCTACATCGTATATTTGTAAATACCATATATCTTTCAAATATATGAGAGAGATTTTTAGTGTCTTTTCTGATCCAGTTTTTGCATTCTTCTGACATAAAAGGTATGTGTGTTAATTACCATGGTTCCAAATTTGTAGCACTTAAAAGAAAAACACTTTCTACTAACTTCTTGTTTAAAATACTTTTTCACATATTACATAGTGAGAATTGCAGATTCTGTTATCTGTTGTACAGTTAAAGAAACTTCATGCCCCACTGATGAGAAAGCAATTTTCATGGACAGATGCTGGTACAAAGCTCAATGGAAATCAAATCCCATTGATTTCAGAAGACTTTGAAATGAGTTCATGAATAAGCTACTTTCAGCCTCAATAAATTCCAAAATGTCCAACTTCTAACTGTTAATTTAATAAGAATGAAATAAAGTCCACATCATCATCACCAGACAAAGTAATCTAAGACAACTTATAGATCTTGGAAAAAGAAAGGTGTTGAAGGTTGCAATGGGGAGAAGGAAACCTGCATTACTTTTTGGCAAGGCATAGGTTCATAATTTCAGTAGGTAGTTAAGTGTTGAAAGAAAGATCAACTCTTCTTTCAGGTTTCCTGCAATCTGCATGTGTGCACAAAATTTGGGGATCTGTTCTTCCCTTGTTTTAAGTCACTTTATTCTTTCATCATAATGAAATTTCACAGGGAAAATTTGACAACATGAGTTAAAAACACCCTACGTCCCTCAGATTCCTTCCATTTTTCTTCTTTTTGTTAGAAGGAGTAATCCAAGTCTTAATAACACAGAACACCAAACACTGTGATAAAGAAGTTCAACCATAAGATTTTTTTTATTACCTCCAGTAGCTGCCTTTGGGAAGAAGTGGTTAACTCTTCAGGGAACTTCTGTGCAGCCTTTTGCATCAAAAAGATTGCTCTAGACAGCTTATTCTTTTTTATTTTTCTCATTATAAGTGCCTCTGTAAAAGAGATATTATAAGACATCTATAAAACATCAGCAATAATTTATTATACTCCTAAAATTTTAATTAATAGGACTTACCTGTTAAATAATGGAAACCTTTAATATTCTTCACATGAGACTTGCTAGACTTAAGACTTCTGTCATCCTTTTGAGCACCTACATGCAAAAAAAATCCCTAATTATTCATTGTGTCAGTGCTATTGAGAAAATTTCAGTGAGAGGGGTTAATACATAGTTTTGTAGTAAAGCTCTACTCCATCTCATGTTCTTTTCTTTGGTTCAAGGAGAATTTCTTGGACTGATTATACCACTGAAAATATTCCACCCTCATGCTCTAACATCTTCAGTAGTAATACTAATATCACAGGAAAAGAGGGATCTTGATTACAGGGAGCAGTGCACATGGGAGTTCTGCAGTGTCAAACTAATACTAGCTTTTAATTAAAAAAAACCCCAAACCTCCTTTATTTCTTAGTATCACATAATATATTAATAGAGGACTCTAATCAAGCTATGAAGATCATTTAGCTTTACTGAAACCTACCTTGTGTCATTTTAAGAAGTTTCACAGCTACTCGATGTTGGGCCTGAATGAGCTCCAAGTGTAAATCCATTACAAAACCATTACCTGTTCCTGTCTTATCAGTACCACATCCCAAAACAAAATTCAAATTCTCATCATTTGAGTCCACCTAATAAATAGGAAGTGGCAATTAAGCAAACACAAACTTTTATTACTGAACTTACTGCATTTATGTTGACATTGACATTATTATTTCAGTAATTTTTCAGTAACATTATTGAGTAAATTGACAAACACTGAAATTTGTCATATCTGTGTAGTATACAGTCATTCAAGAAAGCATGGAAGGTAGGAAAATTACAAGACAAAGAAATCATGGATGATGGACAAAGAAAATTAAATAAAACCTGAGAACCAAGAGGAAACTGGATTAATAATAATTATGAAACTGCAGAAAAAATTGTTTTACTGTGTTGCCAGTCTACAAAACAAAGATCATATTGGTGTAGAATGATAATATTTAGAAAATCTGAACTGCCATGAACAGCAAAAAATAATTTTAATAATAAACAGTTGCAAGCAAGAAATAGGAAAAGGATTTCTGCTTTTATTTTATAGGAGAAAGCTAAAAATTATAATTCTTTCCAAAAGAAAATGGCAAAGAAAACCTAAAAGAGTTTATCATTTATTACTGAAAGAGAAAAACACTATTTCTACTACACAGAGATTGCCAGGATTTCTAAGTATGAAGAAAATACAATTGTTGTGTCATCAAAACCCAATACATTATTTATAGATTTTGTTGTAGTGCAGCTCTTTCTAGACTTTACCTTTGTACAGCAGTTGTCAAATATCGACTTTCCATCTGGCAGAAGGGTCATTAAGCGAGATGTGTTAATTCCATTAATTGCTTTTTCAAGACTTTCATAAGCAACTTGTAATTGTTCTGTAGGACTTTTCTGAAATGAAAACACATGCAAACATGTTTTATTAGGTAATAACATTAAAAGCTGTAACATGGACAGTCAAAAGTAAAGTGCTATTATTTTTAGCTGTTGCACTTTAAACTCTGTCAAATAATCTTTACATAGTCACTGCTCCCCATGCTTTCATATACTAATATCAATGTTTTAAATTTCAAGCAATTGTAATTAATGTAGGACTGATTTTCCTTCAGCTCTCAAAAACCAATTTACTAACACAAAAAGCTAGCTTATAGCAGAATGAAACTGAACTTAGAGAATTAAGTTGACAAACACAGTATTTTCACAAGCAGTTCTTCAATGTTCCATTAGATTCTGTTAAGAAAAGACTGATTTTTCAGAAAACAACACCCGTAAGTAGACTGTCACTGAATTAAAGCTTGTCCATGTGTGTAAGCATTCAAACATATCACTGACAAAATTCCTGAATCCTCAAATTAATGTATGTCTTTTTTTCTTAATATGTTTTAGTAAGTAATTTTGAACTATTTGATGGGACGCTTCTGCAAAGTCCTGAGTACTGAAGACACCAAACAAAGCAAGGACACTCAGGATGTTCCACATCATCCTTACAAAAACAAACAAGTAGAAGTACAACCCAAAATATTTTCCTATATGAAGCAAGGACTAAAGTTGGCATGATCTTTAAAATATGCACTATTAAACCATTTAAAGCTGATATTATGCATTGGCATAAAAAAGAGTGTACAGTGGAAAACAGTACGATCACACTGTAAAAAAGCTTCAAATAAAATTTCTTCCATATCACAGACTACTATAAAAGACTACAGGAAATATTTCAGATTTTAATTCATTTGGAAAAATATACTTGCTTTTTTCCTCTGCACTAGCATGATTGTGTGAAACACTCAGCTTTATAAAACTACAATTGTATTTATAAATATAAAATTGTATAAATATTGTATGAATAAATACAAAATTGTATGAAAGGCTTCAAGAAGAAATAAGTGTTCTTATGCTATTCAAAACCACTGTACTAACGAAACTGAATTACACGTTACCATCAGTATTTCAGGAATTTCACAGGTTTCATCTTGCAAGAGAGAGGTACTTCTTTTTCCTTTTTTGCAGGAAGAAAATCAGATAGTGAAAATGAAATATACTCCAAAAAGCTTAGTACCATTTGATTAGCTCTACTACTAACTTAAAGAGTCTGGCAATAATTCAGTTCTTCAGTACCTGACTACGAGACTTAATTATATTGTTTTTTGAAAAGCTTTTTGGGGTTTAATCACAATAGCTACATATGTACAATTATACTAACTCAGTGTATGATTATCCAATAACGTAGTATTTTTAAATGTACCCTCTATTTCATAGCAACATTATATCGAAGCCAATGAGACTTGGACTCATTTTGTAGTTCTTCACATTGTTGTAGCATGCATATTAATTCTGCATTTTTAAATCAATACAAATCTATTGTTATCTAATTCACAGTAGTTTGAATGCTAATTTAAGTTATAGGAGGACTTTTACATACATGAGCTCATATTTTTATGATATATACTATTTCAATTTAATATTCCTTGAAGAGGTATTATCACCCTTTTAACGTTCATTTGGATCGTTGACATTATTTTCATTTTTAATAACTGACATTATTGCATTATAAAGAATGCATCCAGAATTATGTTTTCCTTTCCAATACAGGAGGAAGCAGTTTCTTTGTGCTTGTTTACAGCCCTCTATCCTGTCAAAATTTCATTTCTTTGCTGAAATAAATTCTTTTTTTTGCCCTTTCAGAGGGACAATCTTCTAGTCACTCCTGTACTCCTTATGCCACTTTTGCCTGTTTATTTCTGCTTGTTCACTGTCTCTTTCTCATAAATAAGAAAATCTATATTCACTCAGCATTCATTCAGTAAAAAGACTGTTCTCAGCATAAACATGTGCTTGATTTGCTATTTATCATCCTATTTTGACCAATGGCTCCTATCTAGTCAGCTTTTTTTCCTCCAAAAAGACATATTTAAAATGAATGAAAAAGAATAGCAGTTATGCTACAATGAGGATTCATCCAATCTCTATCAGAATGGTATGACTCTCATAACATCACAGCAAACAATATCTACTCTACTCTACCTTTATAATGAATAGCAGTGTTCCAAGATTTTTTTACTTTCAAAAGAGCAAAAGGTATTGTCATTCTCTTCTGTTCCTAGGTATGCTCTAAAAGGGTCCTTAAAAGCTACTCTCTCGTTACTGTAAAACATTTGTGAGAACTATGATTCATATTCCAGTGTTCTACATCCACAACAACAGAAAACTTTTTAAAATATATCCAAATATTCATATTTTACAGCATTAGTCAGGTTTTGGAAGGAAATTTGTTTAATGTGATTGCAATTGCATTATATCCCAATAATGTCAGCCAAGTTAAGTTCAATTTCAAAGCTAATTGAATTCCTATACAAAAATCAAGACTTGTGTAGACAAGAGATCCAAATTAATGACCCAATAAAAGCAAAAGCTTCAGTATGACCTCAATAATTCCCTCTTCTGTTTGGCCTGCCACTAGCACTTGAATGCTCCAAATAAGCCACAGCACATACTGCCTTCTGCCTAGCCAATATTCAGAGAACATATGAGTGATCTGAGGCTACTCTGAAGGGGCTGAGACATGTAGAAGACCTGTGGGGAGGGTGAGTCATAAGAGATGTAATTCAAAATGGGGTTACTTCAGTAGAACTGGAAATGTAAGGAAATAACGCATAAATCCTTTGAGAACCAGGTTTCATTAGCTCTGACTATGGATGAAATTGTGTGTACAAAAAATTGTCATTCTACCCTCAACAATCTCTTCACAATATTTTTTGAATATGTATATTTGACAAAGTTTTCGGCTCAGAAAAGTTCTAATCTTGAAAGCCATTCTTGAAAGAAAATAAAATTTTTTATTGAAAGCTTTACCTGCTTTCTTTCTTAGACTTACTTGTAGAATCAGCTACGTTTTCCAATATTGCAGTTAGAAGTAAGGTTACCTCTGCAAGCATTATAACATTAATGTCTGCTATGCTGCTTTTCTGAATTACTTCATTTATTATCCAGAGTAAATGAACCCACTAAAAATGGCAGGAGGGGAAAAAAAAAAGAATCAAGACATGGTTAAAACAAATTTTTGGAAGATATTTATGTATTACAGAGGTAGATAGGGTTTTGCACTGAAAATTGTTTAAAATTATTCATATACATGAACACAACTCCTTTCTTGGATTTGACTTTTTTTTTAATGCCACCAGACTAAGATGCTGAATTTATGCTGTTCCAAAGCCCCTATTTCTTCAGACAGCAGACTTTTTTATTTTAGAATATTATTATTTTTTACTATTTTAGAAAGGTTTATGAATGTTCTATGGGCACAACTTTTATATCTTGCCACAGTGTGGTAAGCCTTCTGGCAGATTTGATCATTTGCCTCTTATTTATCCCTTTGTCTTCCCGCTTAAACAGTGTAAGAGACCTGAATGCTCCTGATGTACACACAGAGGAAAGTAACCGTACACTACCTTCTGGTGAATCTCTGAAAAATTTTATTATAGGGAACAGGGCCACAAAATGAGCTCCTCCAGAAACTGTTTGGTCAGTATCAACTGGCAGCCCAGAGAAACTAATATAAATTACCCTTCAGAAGACTGCATTTCACAAAGAGCCCCTCAGTCTCAGGAAAAGTTCAAGGTAAGGCTGGAGCTCTATCCAGTGGGCCAAATACTATTGATCCAATCTCCCTTCTCTTAAGCTGTATGGTTTTCGCCACTTTCTTCAACTGACCTAGGGAACTTTCTTGAAATATATTGATATTTCCCACCACAACACACCAAATGCTGCTTCTTACATCATGACCAAATGCTTTCCCTATTTTAGCTTCTTTCCACCATGGCCCACTGGCAGAGAATGGGTTACTTTACTGGAAAAAGGCTAAGAGATATTTTGATACTGGCATATGGGAGCACAATGTGTTCAAAGTGCATATACAATTCACATTTTCAGTGAAGAAGATTCATCTGCATTTTACCATAAGAAAAGGTACTTAGACTGGGAACCAGTATTATATCTTGGGTTTGCTATAACAGACTGCATTCATATGAAGAGAAATGCATTATAATCAAGGAGTACTTGGTAAGCTTTGTATTTGTGAATATATTTCAAGTAGTCACTTCCACTCATTTGGATTTGCTGAAGTCTCGTTTTACACTTCTGCCACAAAAACATTATTACATCAACAAGTATTTCTCTGTCAGGTTGGATATTCTGGAAAGAAAAAACAACATAATTGTAGAAAAGGTATGTACACAAACACTCTTAAAACACTCAGTACATAAACAGTCTCAAAATTTCTCAAATAAGTAAATAAACCATTATCATATTTAACTTTCTTATAAGGGATGACAACATTTTGAAAGCTCAAGAGATATTTTTTTAAAAGCAATTTCTGGTAGACCACTCAAGCTTTTCTTCTCCCAACAATACAAATGGTTTTAGAGGTTGTTTTTTTTTTTCTTTTTTTTATCGTCAAGCTCTTAAAAGTAACACAGACAAGGAAAGCAGTGAGATTAAAATTACATGGGAGAGACAAGCAAATTAACTATCTGTGAAACATTATAATAGTCAATACATTCTGTGAAAACTAAGTAATGTAATTTACAGTTTGCCTCTTTTTTATTACAGTATTTTATTATTATGGTATTTAAATTAGTAGGTTTCATTTTGCATTAACAGAGTACTTCCATGGCTTGTTGGTGCATCTCAGATGAGGGAGCAGCTAAGAAAATCTTAAAAAACTAGAAAAAAGGTTGGAGTGGAATATCTAACAACTGAAAGAAATGTTAAAATACATCTGCATCTTGTAAAGAGAATAATTAAGAAATTCAAAACTCTATTCAGTTAACCTAATTAACACATTTTAAAAGGCAATAGAGTCCATTTACACTGTGTTAAACACATTCTGAACAGTGATTAAGGATCAGTACACATTTTTATTGCCATTTATATCAGAGTTGGACCAGTATCTTAGGTGCAATAAAACTCAAGCCTGCTATATCCACACTATCTGTACACTCGTACGTGGATGAGCATAAGATTTCAGGTATAGTGATATTAAGAAAAAGACTGAAAAACAAGTAAATTAAGATGACTTTTGCCACTCACTTGGTGGCAGCAAGCTGTTAGTTTGGCTCAGCTACATCACGTAACTTCACCATCAGTGAATTCCCTGTTAATCAGGGGAGAATTTGGTTTTGTTTCCCAGACAGATTAGCTACCAAGGAGATTTGTGGAAAACTGCAGAAGAACCAGAAGAGTTTAAATCTAGGTAACCTGCCTCCATTACACAGTGGTCATGTTAAAAAAATGACAAATGATGCTATCTAAAGGTATAACTACCTGAACTGTAATTTTTTTTCCCTCACAGTAGCACATTAAGGGAAATCTCAGTTTCAGCGAGTAAGCTAAAAGTGGTTACTCTGGGAATAAACCATCAGATATATAATGGTATTATTCTGTAGTACAGACTTCAGCACAAAAAGTCCCACTCTCTTTGGTTTTGTTGCTGCTGCTGCTTGTTTGTTTGCAGTGAGAATTTACCTTAAATTGCAGGCATACCACTGCTAAAAAGGCATTAACATTCCTTAGGGTCACTGCTCCCATTTCTATAACTACTGCAGAAATGTTTTCTACGGCTGAGCATATTTGCCCGCCTACATCTACTATAAGAAATTTGATCTCCGCTTGATTAGCTGAAACATGCAATTAGCTCTATGACATTGCAAATGGATTTAAGAGCTATTAAACATTTGTAAAGTAGCCTGAGTACATAGCACCAATAAAATTTAAAAAAAGAAACAAATATTATTTTTGTTAAATCTCAAATTGATCACATCTTAAGGGTGTATTTTTTCATTTTTGCTATTTCGTTTTTGTAGTTTGTTAATCGTGCAACTGATTCCTTTGGTCTTAAATTATAAGCATTCATTACAGATTACGATTCACTCAGAAGAAATGTCTCTAACTGTATTATACCTGCTTAGATGTGGAGACACAGGAAAACACTGTTGTTGCCAAAATCATAAGATCATGAGAAGGCTCTCCATGCTTCAAGGAACCCTCTGCATCCAGTGTTTATAAAAAGGAAGAAAAGGAAAGGCAAGAGGTTATTTCTAGTTACAAACCTATGTTTGAAAACATCTGAGTGAATCAACTTACCAATTTGTGCCAGCAGATAATATGCTCTAAAAAATAGTAAGTATAAAGGGGACAGATATTCCCAGGTTTGTTCACTTTCTGTGAAAAGTGAGCATTGCTATTTTTGGAAATGGAAAGTTTTCAAGATATTTGCAGTTTTTTTAGAATGTTATACAACTAAATTACAGTTGCTTTAACAAGTTTTTCTTGTTTCAGTGCCAAGAAACTTTACAGAAATGAAGTGTAAGAACAAAAGAAAGTCAAACATGTCTGTTTCACTTTTTTCCTGAAAACCTGTCTGAAAACATATAACATGATGTACGTTAAACATACATGCTATTCCACACTTGAGGGAAATGGTATAAAGTCATGTTTTGGCAAATGAAAACTGGACAAAATTCAGTAGGTTGCAATTTCTCAGTTGCAAGGTTTTGTCTCAGAATACTTCATGCACCATATTAAATAGTTTTTAAATAATAAACAAAGTATCTTGCAGCAAAAATATTTGAAATGCAAACACAGCTATATCTGAACAACACTCACGTCTGAATGTTTGCTTCTTTTCAGAACCATGAGGCATCCTAGCTTCTTTGGTATTATTTTCACTAATAGAAAAACCGTGTTTAAATTTTCTTGGAAATAGTAAAGGTTGCATCAGTGTAAGAAGTGTGAGTTCCATTTCAGCTTTCTTCCACGTTGGGTCATCTTGAGCCTAATTGGCAGAAACAACCAATTGAAATTTTACTTTAAAATATGTGCTTTGAATAGCCTTCCTTACCTTCATAGGAAAAGACTACATAAAGAATGTCTAAATAGCATCTGGATTACCTGAAGAAAATTAACAACAAATTCAATAGCAGAATCAAACACGTCCCACTCTCCATAGCTGAAAGCTAATTTTATAAATTTCACAGCAGCATCTCCAGACACCTCCTTTTCTCCTGCAGTGACAACAGAAATATTTTATCTGTTTTATGTATATATGCAGAAATTTAATTTAAGCAACAATTTGGGTATTGATAAATACAAAGATAAACTCCACATGTGTTTTTTAACAGTCAGCATAATCTTGAAGGATTTTTAATACCTCTACAAAATACAATAGCTTTGTTATTTTGCTGTAATGTCCATGCTTATATACCACTTTAATGATGTATCTGCAATGTCCTGTTACATTCCAAAGAGACTGTACTATTATTGATATTAATGTACCTGTGTAGAGGATATAAAGGACTTAGTCCTTTCTATTACAGAAAGATTTTAAATCTGGGTATCACTCCATAATGACTCTTCTTCCCAGAAATTTAGTTTAAAAAAGGTGTAGAAACATTAACAATGTCCTGTAAGATAGGTGAGCATTTCTCATTACTGTATCAGAAAATGTGCATGTACTCATAGGAGTGTACACACTTCAATTTTACCCAAACCACACTAACGCAGAAAAGGGATTTCCTGGCCCTTGGCACTCCAAGCAAGTGTCTTAGCTAATACATTCAGCAGTGTTCTGCAGTCCTGAGAATATGCCACAGTCAGCATCATATCACCTGGGCACGTGGTCACTCGGCTAAAAGATATTAGCAATATTAACTTGGTAATAGACAGCTATTATTTTCCAAAGCAGCACAACGATTGATACAAGGATTTTAACAAGCTTACAAAAAGTTCTTCTGTTACTGCATCACACTTCTATAAGTATGTACCAGGACACCATTGCAGAATTTGGCCTTTGAACAACTGTTCAGGGGAATTTACCTATCTAGATGAACTGCTATGATGAACAGTATGTGATTACAATGTCCATATATTAGTATGTGATATTTAAATAACACTTGTGTTAAGAAAATCATAATGATATCTGTACATAATAATCCCTTTTGAATTATATATATAAAAAAAGCATATCTCACACAAAGAGGACAGCATTTTTCAATTCCATTATGCACAGAACTGCTACTAACATGAAAATGAATTGTGCTTACCAAGCATTTCCATCACTGGTTACAAAATCCTTTGAAAATTTAAAGCTAGTTTACCTGTTAGTATCAACTGCAGAAGGGTTGATGATGCATTAATTATACCAAAATGATCAGTGCAATAGCCTCCTTGAATACCAGTTCTGCTCTTTCCACCTTTAATATAGACAATTCATTAAATCAGTTTATATTGTATTTGACTTGTATTTTAATTAGCCAGTAACTATATCAAGAAAATATGATTCTGAACTGAATTTAGTCTCTATAGATTCTTTTATTAATAAAATATCTCTATACCCTTAGCTATATTCAGTCCAGAGCCTAGCAAAGAAGGTTTGGAAGGAACCAAGTCCAGTCTTTTTCTCAAGTTTTTAAATTAACTTTGAGTCTTTGAGTGGGTTTTTTTTGAAAAAAAAAAAAAAAAATATATATATATATGAAACACCATGGTGGGTTGCCTTTGCCTGGCTTTCAGGCAAGAGCATCCAGCTGCTCGCTCGGTCCTCCTCCTCAACAGGACATGGGGAGAATATAAGATGGAAAAGCTCATAGGTTGAGATAAATACAGTTTAATAAGAAAAGCAAAAGCTGTGTGTGCAAACAAAGCAAAAAAAGGAATGTATTCACTAATTCCCATCGGCAGGCAGATATCCAGCCACTTCCTGGAAACCAGGACCTCAGGATGTGCAGCAGTGGCATGGGAAGACAAGCATCATAACCACAGACATCCCCCTATCCTCACCCTTTCTGCCAGTTTTTGTTGCTGAGCATGACATCATATGGTAGGAAATAGCCGTTGGGTGAGTTTGGGTCAGCTGTCCCAGCTATACCCCAACCCAACCTCTTGCCCACCCCCAGCCTGCTGGCGTTTGCAGGCAGGAGCATTGGAAAGACATCCTTGATGCTGTGGAAGACAAAACACTGGTGTATTATCAATACCAGTTTAGCCACAAATGCAAGGCACAGCACCGTATGGGTTGCTACGAAGAAAGTGAACTCCATTCTTTTCAGAAAAGATATGCATAAATTACTGTAGATTTTTACTGATATAACAGACAACAGAGATAGGCCCACAGTTTTATCTTACATTTTATGAAAATAAAAAAGATTTTCTGCTCTTACAGGGGCTATTGTTAAATTAAATATATGTATTCAGGCACGTTCTTTCTTTTATACCAAAGAAAAAAAAGAAACAAAATTGAGGTCTGGGCTCCTCACCAACATTAGCGTGGCCAGCAGAAGTAGGGAGGTGATTGTGCCCCTGTACTCAGCACTGGTGAGGCCACACCGCGAGTATTGTGTCCAGTTTTGGGCACCTCCATACAAGAGAGATATCGAGGTGCTGGAGCGAGTACAGAGGAGGGCAACAAAGCTGGTGAAGGGCCCAGTAAACAAATCATATGAAGAGCGGTAAGGAGCTGCGACTGTTTAGTTGGAGGAGGAGGAGGCTGAGGGGAGACCTCATCACTCTCTACAACTATTTGAAAGGACACTGTAGAGAGGTTGGTGCTGGTCTCTTCTCACAGGTAATTAATGACAGAACAAGAGGGAATGGCTTCAAGCTCCAACAGGGTAGATTTAGACTGAACATTAGGAAAGAATTTTTCACAGAAAGAGTGGTTGGGCACTGGAATAGGCTGCCCAGGGAGGTCGTTGAGTCACCATCCCTGGATGTGTTTAAGAGCCGTTTAGATGTGGTGTTGGGGGATATGGTGTAGAGGAGAATTTGTAGAGTAGGGTAGACAGTTGGACTCAATGATCCCAAGGGTCTCTTCCAACCTAGACAATTCTATGATTCTATGATTCTTTTTGCTTCTTTATGTTGTTACCTGAAAGGATTTCCAGGCCTGCATAAAAAAGCTCTGAAATGACATCACGAATTTCAACTTCATCGGGAACAGGTGGAGCAGGATGCAACACACGCCTGCTACTATCAGACAGAGCTTCCAGGATGGCAAGGAACTGTGCTGCAGCGCTGTCAAACATTTCTGTCAGCAGCCGTTCAGTAGCAGTGCGAGGCCATGGCAACTAAGCGAGAAAAGGTAATATAAGCCTTGTACTATCTAAACCAAGTTACAATAAAGCAAGATTTCTTTCAAAACAGTTCACCTTCAGGAAATAAGCACACATTTAAAACAGAAAATAATACACTGTAAAACATATTGTTGTTAAGAACTTTATGCTTCAAAGGCATAGCAAAGCCTCATGCCAAGTGGGTACAGTACTTAAGAAGTGCCATAATTTCATAGCAACCACACACACTGCTGCATGGTATTTTACTTAGAAAACAATACAATAGAAATTATGAGTGAGAGTATTAAGGCCACATAGTTTAAAGCCACCCAGATCTCCCCTTATAATGATACAGACTTGACCGTAAAGACCTAAGTTCTACACACTTTGCAGAAAATCAAAGAAAGATTAGGATGCTCAGCACTGCAGCGAAAGCAAAACACTATTACATTTTCGCACTTGCACATTTCAAACAGCATAACATAAAAATACAAGGCAGAACACACAAAGATATATTTGTGCTATTGACAGCTAAGAAATCAGAGATCTACATTAGAAAATATTTTAAAATTTTATTTCAATGTTCTGTTTACATGGTTACCAAACCACTACGAGACATAAAGTAAACCAGAGATACAGTACTTTAAAATGTTGCTCATAATCCATCGATATTTCAGTTCTATTTATTTGGCACTTTCCCAAGTTAGATCAGTTTCTAGGCACGTTTAACTAGACAAAAATTTGAGAATTTCCTTCTTGCTTTGCTGGATTCACATCCTTTATTTTAGCTTCCAAATTAATACTTACAGGATCCGCATCCTTTTTTTTTAGCTTCCAAATTAATACCTGTAAGTATTAATCAGATGTATACCTTATAAAAAAAATCTGATCTGTTCAATATCTGACAACATTTAGAGTATTAAAGGGTTATTTTTGTTTTCAAATAACTCATGTAATGAGTGAGCTTCATCAATACTATAGCTACCTGTCTTTTCCAAAGAAAGAGGAACTATTTCTACTAGGAGTATAGTAAAAGTAAAAACAAAAGATAGTTAATATTGGATACTGATAGAGCAGCTAATCCTGGAAACCAGTTCTAGGCACTTGAAGGGCAACAAAACCATCCTGAATGGACAGCATGGATTCATGAAGGTGAAGTCATGCTTACACCAACTTGATAAACTTTGTTGAAATTACTTGCCTGGTAGATGAGGGGAGAGCAGTGGTCTACCTAAACTTCAGTAAGGCCTTTGACGCTATCTTCCATAACCCTCAGCAAGTTTGCAGATGACACAAAACTGGGAGGAATGGCTGGTATACCACAGGGTCATGCTGTCATCCAGAGTGACCTCAACTGATAGAGGCTGATAGAAACCTCATGACGTCCAACAAGAAGTGCAAAGTCCTCCTCCTGGGGACGAACAAGCCCGTGCACCAGTACATACTGGGGGGCCACCCAGCTGGAAAGCAACTTGGCAGAAAAGGACTTGGGGTTCCTGGTAAACACCAAGTTGAACATGAGACAGAAATGTTTAAGGAACTAGAACATGTCCCCTGTGAGGAAAGGCTGAGAGAGCTGGGACTGTCAGCCTGGAGAAAAGAAGGCTCAGCTGGGATCTCATCAATGGATATAAATATCGGAAGGGAGAGTGCAAAGAAAAAAGAACTAGGCTCTTTTCAGTGGTGTCCAGTGACAGGACCACAGGCAATGGGCACAAAATAAAACATCTGAGGTTCCCCTAAACATCAGGAAACGCTTTTTCACTTTGAGGTGACTGAATACTGGTACAGGCTGCCCAGGGAGGTTGTGGAATGTCCATCCTTAGAGATATTCAAAAGCTGACTGGTCATGGTCCTGGGCAACCACCAATACGTGGCCCTGCTTGAGCAGAGGGGTTGGACCAGATGACCTCCAGAGGTCCCTTCCAACCTCAGCCATTTTGTGATCCTGTGATGCACAATCTCCAAGCAAAATAAATCCAAAACAAAGTTTCAACATTTTTTTAATAAATCCTCGTAATGATGCTCGCAGACTAAAAAAATTTCAAAGCAAACTATACATTTTTTTTAATATTTTCTGTCATTGTATTCAATATAATTATTTTCCCACACTGTGGATTTGTTTTTATGAACCCAATCTAGGAATCAGCTCTATGCAAGCAGAAAGCAATATACATCACATATTCTAGGGAAGGCTAAGCATAAATTGCAAGGTTTAAATACCTTCATTAAAAATACAGAGCAGAATGGGCATGTAATTTACAACTAATAATATTTTTGCATAAGCATCAGAGGGCTACAAAGATGACCAAGGGAATGGAGCACCTCTCTTACGAGGAAAGGCTAAGAGCCCTATGTCTGTTTAGCCTGGAGAAGAGAAGACTGAGAGAGGATCTTACCTACGCTTATAAATATCTAAAGGGCGGGTGTCAAGAGGATGGGGCCAGACTCTTTTCAGTGGTGCGCAGCAACAGGACAAGGGGCAGTGGGCACAAGCTGGAACACAGGAAATTCCATCTCAACGTGATGAAAAACTTCTTTACTTTGAGGGTAATGGAGCACTGGAACAGCCTTCTCAGAGAGGCTGTGCAGTCTCCTTCTCTGGAGATATTCAAAACCCACCTGGATGCCTTCCTGTCCAACCTGCTCTAGGTGAATCTGCTTTGGCAGACTAGATGATGTCTGAAGGTCCCTTCCAACCCCTACCATTCTGTGATTCTGTGATTAAACAATTGTTTAAGACAGAAAATACATCGTTCTTATTTTTAATTACTTGGCTTTTACTGTACCTACTGCAGTACATGTTTTTATGTGTAGCTTATCCCAGAGTATTTCATGAACAAATTAAATAATTATGAACAAAACCATCCAGATTTAACCTATTCGCTCAGCTTTGAATGTTTTAATCTGTTCTAGTATCAGATAAACTGTGGCAAAGAAGATGCCACTTGGTAGTATTTCTTTCCTTTCATCTTTCAAAAATGCAAAGGGATTCCTCAATTTTGCCATTACATTATGAAGTACGTATGTAATGGATCTATAACTACATCATGAGAATTAAAGGATGACGGAATTTCAGCCCAAGGAGACCTTGAGAAACTTGAGGAAGTAGTTCTACTGTGGGAAGTGCCAAGCTCTGCATGCATCTGGGGAGGAATGCATCCGGGGAGGAATGCATCCGTATAGACTGGAAACCAACTTCTGGAGTAGCAGCACTGCCAAAAAAGACCTGGTTGTTAAACTTGAGCCACCAGTGTCTTCTTGTCACAAAGAAGACAAACTACACAGTGGGTTACACTAGGAGAAGTGTACAGCACATTGACAGGTTATTTTCTTCCCTTACTTGGATCTCATGAGGCTCCACCTAGAGTCCTATGCCCACTTTTGGACTCCTCTGTGTAAGAAGGATGCTGAGAAACAGGACAGGGTCCCATGGAGGTCTACCAAAATGATTAGGGGCATAAAATGTAAAAGAATAGCCTGAGGACCCCTTAGTTAGTCTGGCAAAGAGGAGGCTAATGGGTGACCTAATAGCTGCCCACAACTACTTGAAGAAGACTCATAAAAGTAAAGTATTTGCAAAAGTAAATAATTTCTTCCATAAAACCAAACTACCTATATATATATATTACCAACAGCTAACAAGTTTCCACAGAATAATGCTTTTTATCACAAGAGGGTGTCACAGCACAAAGAGATCACAATCTTTTCCTTACATGGTTGCAAAGCAACCCAATGAGCAGGCAATATTACTCAATAAAAGAGTGCAGGTTTGGGAGCTTGCTGGTTAGTACTTTCAGTCCCTCCTCTCTGCCAGCTTCTTATGAAATACTGCAGGAATGAAATTTATTTAAATCAGTTGCAAACAGTAGGAAAGCAGAACAGCCATCTGTCCATCACAAAGGGAACCACCACGCAGATAGAAGCATCCTCTTTGGCACAGTGAAATCAAAATGAGAACTTTATCTGTGCAGTCTTGCATCTAGGAAAGGTATTGAATTCAAAAGACCTATCAAGCTATGACCAAAAATGGATGATATAATCTAAGTAATATGCATAACCATTATGAACCCACATAGTAGCATAATGGTATAAAGGTAACTTTAACTACTAAAGTCTGATATATTAAAGTCTGCATGATGACCAAACCAGGGACAATGCACTCACACGAGAAAGCATTTCTTTGATTATTTATAATTCTTATACCAATGGATCACTCATTTTGACACTGGCTGAAAAGAAC